TTATATTGCGACTTTTGGAGCATGGAGGATCCCCGGGGGAGGATCGCTACTTTCAGGGATGGTCACATTCTGGTAGCTAAAAACTGAATGTTCAAAATTTGCAAAAACAGCACGCGAAACCATGTTCATTTTATATTATCGCTATTATAAATGCTTGACAGGTTTCGTACTTTTAAAAGAAGGTGTAGATTAGTGACACCAAAACAGTGTACTTCCCAAAAATTGCGCATCTATAAAACTCCGAACCATTCGTTAAAAGCCGTAAATATTACTTTAAACGCCCTTTGATGCCAGTTGGGGGAAAAAAGCTAAAAAAAGCTAACCAAAATTCAGTTTATTAGTCGAGCACAACACTACATTTCTGTTCCTAAACTGGGCTAAAATTCGGGCATGCGCAAAAGACAAAATTTCAAGTTTTGGGTTTGATGCCCCCTCCAATCTCGACCCCAGTGCTTACGCAATCTGACTCATCCGCAAAAAGCTCTGGGGTCGATTTTGCGCCCCCTCAAATTTTCCTTTTCACTTTCTCTGCTCCTCGCTTTCACCTTTTTGACGGCCAGCTTTTTTGCTGATGTTGCTAAGCATTCTGATTTCTAATCTAATTCTCCTCGTTAGTACCCGATGAACGGTAAAGAAATGATTGGTGAATGTTCATATTAATCCACGCCATCAGGCACCCAAAAATGGGCTCCTGACGCCATTTAGAAGGGTTCATGACGTCGACGACGTCATGAACCTTCGGCCCAGAGGTTCAAGAACCAAAACAAACCAAGGTTCACCAAACATAATGTAAGGGGTGGCCTTCTCGCTCCGTTTCAGTGGATTTTTGTATTTTTCTGAACGCTCGTACATTTACAAAAGCACAAGCGCTTTTACGTCCCAGGGTCTAGCCAGCGAACAAGCTCTCTCACTGCCCCACCCCACCCAACCCTCCCCCAAACTCAGCAGCAAGAGACCTTGCTCGCAGGCTAGTCGCCCCCCCGCCCCCCACTCCCTTCCCAATCCAGTCTTAAAATCAGGCTGTTAAATATCCCCAAGGTCCATGACCAAAGAAGAAAATTCTCTAACTTTAGACGAAGTGCAGTTTGGAACTTCATGGCCTGTTTATCCACTGCATTAAAGAAAATAAAATATTATATAAGACTAACTCGAAGGAATATGAAAGAAACGCTCTGAGGGTATCAAAATGTTGAAAAGTTGATCCCATGTTAAGACAAGTGTAATCATAAATTTTGCTTGTTTCTTCACACGTCGTTTCTTGTTCTTTTCTTACGTAAACGCGTCCCTTTCTAAAACTACCTATTTTATATCAAGAACTTTATAAACTCAAGACAAAAAAAATTGTGCTGAGCGGCAAAATCCTTCCTAGGACTAACGAGCAATGAACGCTTCTTCTCTCCTCTACTTATAGAAATATCAACCTACCCTTTGTCTTCTTACCCTCTACCTATAACGCTGACCCCACCCCACCCTTTTGCCTTTTTTCTATTTCCTTTTACCCTACCCTACCCTACTCTACCTCCCCTTTCGTTCTCTAATCTGAAGTGGTCTTCGGGTTAACCGCTGGAGGCCCTGATTGCTCTTTTTGTCGCACATGTTTAAACGATTAGTTAACTTTATACAGTTTTAAAGCCTTTTGGGCCGGTACTCAGTTACTTTCCGATTTTAATAGTGAGTTTTTCACGTTGTTGAGGAGGAAGCCATTTTATTGTTGTAGTACGGTTGTCTTAGCTCGTTGTCGTAGTATCAGACCATCTTTAATTTGTGTCGTTTCATCGGTAAGTTGAGCATGATCGTCCGGGTGAACCAAGTCCTGAATAGAACTGTTGTTGACAGTGACTGTCGTTTCGACAACCTGCGCGGTAGTCATCTTAAGAGTCTTATGTCGTTCACGTTTTGTCGCTATTTCATCTCTCAGTCAATTCCAGATGCGCCCATGAGCTCCCATGTCAAGGGGATACTTCAGCTGTCATGAAATCAGCTTAATGGTTGGGATAAAATAAGAGGAAAAATGCCCCGGAGCCAATCAACTCTCGGTAGCTGTTTGCAGCAAGTTTAATGAACAATTTCTCTGTTTCTGTACGTCTACTTGATTCACGTCAATACATGATTACAGTAGTCTCGTTAAAAAATTTAATTAACATCAAGAAGTCTGCTCTGAATATTTTAATATAGAAAACGAAGACCCCATAAACATGTTTAGAATTCAGTAATTGACTATGATAAAATGGAATCTATACGACCAAGAGTTTAAAAAGGGGCTTTTATCCTCTCTTGATACGACTAAATTCATTCAAATCCTGATGAACAGAAATTTGATTCAATATTAAACCAAAAAAAAAAAACGTCGATTCACGTTCGTAGCTCCTGACTTTACTTGTAAAGCTATGTGCAAACGGACTCAACAACTCCCAACATTGTTGGGCCAGCAATGTTGGGAGTTGTTGCGTCCATTTGCACGCGGTTAAACGTTTGATCGGTTTCAAACTTTGAGAAACAACTCGTGCAAACGGACGCAACTTGTAACATCCACCAATGTTGGGAGTTGTTGGCCAATGATGTTGCGTCCGTTTGCCCTGGGCCTAAGTTCTGGCTTCATAAGGAACTAAGAAATTTGTAAAATGGTGGAAACACCTTCAAAAACCTCCAAAAGTTTTCCATTCCTTGAAAGATGCATAAATATATACATGCTTTATTGAACACTTCCCCTTTGGGGCTTTTCAGCGTCAATTATGGAAATGAAATCAAGCATATAAAATTACAAATTATTTAAAATATCATTCCCTCCCATATATAACAGCTCCCTCTTAAACCCAACTCCCTTACAGTTACTCTGAAATTATTAATTATGTCAGGAGCCCATCAAATCACTTGATTGGCTCCTGATTATGTTTATAACTCTCCCTCTTATGGGAGCAGAATCGGCCAATCTGCTTGTGTGTCCAGTAAAATTCTCCATGTTTCACGAGACGTAACATTGTTGGCCCTGGACTTGGCAAATGACAGACCTTGGGTCGCAAAAAATTTGCTTACACCACTCCCCTGGTACTGAAAGGGCGCGCAAGGGAATGGACGCCGCTATGTCTCTTTCCGAGGACACTGCAAAGACTTGTACATGAAGCATGAACACAACAGCGGTGTAGAAAATTGCATCACTGGGAAGGAAACAACAGATGAAAAAAGAATAATTTGCTTTTGGTGAAAAACAAAAAATGGGAAAGAATCGCAAGAAAGGTAATGAAAATTGCTTTATATTGTGAACACAATGATCACCGATTTACAAGCTCCCGTGAGTTATGATCTGTAGTAATTTAGAATGAAACTTTTGAAAAATGTTCGTGCATCAAGCATGCATGAAACTTTTGATGCTCTTTTTTTTTAATCACGGGTTTTAACCGGGATTTATTAACTGTAGCTATAGTCTTCCTGTCTTGTTATTGACGCACTGCACGTGGCCTATATAGTTCTTTGTCAGAGTCACACTTTCAACCATTCGATCTTGCTTGAGGCTTAATAGGCCCTTTGCATGACTTGATCACGTGATCAATTTTCGGTAAACACGAAAACAGTTCGCTTTTGAAAAATTTTGTTAGCACAAGCTGAAAGAGCATACTAAAATTAGGTAACCTGAGCATTTTCAACCGTATATCTCAAAAGTAGCAATTGCAACGGCCTCCGAAAGTTGGAAGCATTTGTATGTTTTCCATACAAATCCTTGTAAATTCTAAAATTTTTAAACTGTCATGTAATCTTTTTCTTACGCATTTAAGGGCTCAAATTGTCTATTACAAATTAAAAGTAGATTTGAGCCCTGTAATGCTTAAGGAAATATTTCATGACAGTTTCGAAAATTTTGAAATTACAAGGATTTGTATGGAAAACCATGCAAGCGTGACTGGATGGCAAAAGTTGTTTTTCTCGAACAAATGCTTCCAACTTTTGGCGGCCGTTGCAATCGCTACTTTTGAGATTCTCAGGTTACCTATTTTTAATACACTCTTTCAGCTTGTGCTGACAAAATTTTTCAAAAGTGAACTGTTTTGGTTTTTACTGAAAGTTGATCACGTGATCAAGTCATGCAAAGAGCCTATTTATATATTATTCATATGCGTCACTTAATCATTTCCTGGTAGATATAAGCTTAGTTCTTTTTTTTTTCCTCATTACTTTTCTTCAGTGCACCCAGGTGCATCTCGAGCTGAACTGATGATGATGACAGTGTCAGAAATTGTCAACCAGTTGATCACAGCTCACGAAAAGGGAAATGATGTCAATCTTAACAAGTAAGTTACATTTATAAATTTTTAAATTTCTCCTTGTGTATCTGCCAGTGGCTTTTGACTGCTTTTAAATTCTGTAAGACTTCAATGATACAATAATATTAATGGGCAGAGTCAAGAGTGACCTGACAGGACAAGGACCCCCCTTTCTCTGTGGAGTTTTGGATTATTAAGGCCAAGTTAGGGTAAAATGTTTAACATATGACATGGCCTTGAAACAGTGAGGTAGGAGAGCGGAAATGGCGACAAATGACACAAAGATGGGTTGAAACTGAGACAGCAACAGAGGAAAGCACAAATACATAGTGAAATACTGACGGCGACATGGTTTCCTCCTCAAGGTGCAAAACGACAGGTTTTGAAATTAAGACAAGGGCTTTATTATGCTAAAAGAATTCTCAGTACCCTAACCCTTGCAAGTGTCCTGGCCAACCTTTGAGTATTTTGTGGATCCCCCCCCTCAGTTTGCAAGGTCCATTCAACATTGGAACCTGGCAGACTTATAGTCTCAGAGAAAGCCATAAAATCACAAGGAGAAATTCAAGTTGTTCATTTAAGAAAGTGTGTATCTCATAGATGTGCTTGTTAAGAGAGAGGTAACTCACTGTGATTTTCTCACACTCCATTAAGTCTCAAGTCAAGTGTGCCCATCTCCGGCTGGGGCATTTGTCATTTTTTCATTGGAAAGCTGCAAATGGCATATGGTCAGGCCAGGAGATCCAGATACACTGTGAAGAACTGCCCACCATTTTTCTTAAAATGCTCAATTGGAAATACAATGTAATCAAACACATTTCAAGACTCTTTGCCTCATTGGACACAATTTAAAAAAAAGTTTTTCTGTGACATTATTCTTGTGTCTGTACTCTAACAGATCATGGACCACAACCAAACAGTATGCATAACATTCACCACATAGAATGTATAGAAATATATCAGTGATCTGATCCCAAGAAAGGAGATCTCAGTTAGACCATCCAAATGTTTACCAAAGACAAAACAATAAAATTAATGTAACATGAACCTTTTTTCTTTGATTCCATCAGAATAAAGGGACAAACCTCAAGCAAGTATGGCTTGACATCCCAGCCCAGACTTGTTGACATAATTGCTGCTGTGCCTCCGGCTTATAAAAAGGTCACTGTTACTTTAACTTCTTCTCCTTATCATAAATAATTAATATAATTATAGTACATAGTGGTCAACCTAATATCATCGTTATTCACAGGTTTTACTTCCGAAGCTTAAAGCCAAACCAGTTAGAACAGCATCAGGTGTAAGTATCATTCTGTCCTAAAAGAATTTTTGAACTAGCCTGGAATGTTTTTGTTTTACTACTGTTCCCTTTTTGGTGTAAAACATTGGAATGAAAGCAGTGAATGTGTATGTTTACAAGTTATTTGAAATTTAAAAAAATCAAGTTATAGTATTAGTCAAAGGTAAGTTACCACCCTTTCACATGACAGGAGTCTTGTCTTTGAGACAAGGCTCTCATCTCTTGAGACAAGACTCTCATCTTGCAAGATAAAAGTTTCATCTTGAGAGACAAACTCTCATCTTGCGAGAGGGTTGAAAACTGTAAGTATCAAGACAGTGTCTTTGGAATCTTTATGGATTTGACAAAAGTCCTGTAAGAAGTAAGAAAAATGTGAGTCAAGTGTGAAATTGGCAGCAAAGTGCAGGATAAAGTCCTTAGTACCATAAACACTTAAGAAAGCTATGGTCGACTTATACATAGGACGTCACAAAATTATTCTAGAAGGCAAAAATATTGAACAGTCTTAGAAATCCCACAACCACACACATCACAATGATTAGTAAAGTAAAAACAATGCAAATGTACCCACTTTTTTGGTAAGCTGCACTTGGCACCTGGACAACTAAGTTTTCCTGAAAGTCTTTAAGCTCAGAAAAATGTTTTTGCTGTTGCATTTATAGATAGCTGTTGTTGCAGTGATGTGTAAACCTCACAGATGCCCACATATTAACATGACTGGAAATATTTGTGTGTAAGTTTTTGTGCTTATTTCATGTTCACTAGAAAAATGAAAATTTAGATCTTCCCTTGAATTTATTACCCTTGAAGAAGAAGTCTTTTAGTCATTAAAGAACAACATCCGTTTTGTTCTGGTTTGAAAGTTTAAAAATGAACAGGGAGTCTTCAATTTTTACGGTAGACAGCACAGAAAAATGATTCCTTTCCATCACAAGTTAGTGGTAAACTCTTTCAACAAAGCAGTGCTCTGACATCACAAGTTTAACCAATGGCAAGCTGAACTATGCAACATAGCTGATCTTTATAAGCAATAGATGCCATAAGATGTCAGGGAAATACATTTATGCCTACTCTCCCGGAGTATCTGGGACCCTCCGAGATAAGGTGCTAATCACCTAGTCTCCCATACGAATCACCAAACCTTCTGCATTAAATTGAATTTTGAGCTTATCTCTGATTTAGTTTGAAATTATGCCAACAATTTTTCCCTCAAAATATGTAAATTTTTCAGTGATAGTATTGTGTCTGTGGCATTTTTGCACATACTGTATTTCATCATTATTTTTCCCAATGCATGTGTTTAATGTTAAGGTATTGCCCAGGGGGACCAGACTCTGATTTTGAATACTCCACCCAGTCCTATACAGGATATGAGGTAAGCCTTTAGTACTTTTGTACTCAGTCAGTCATTCATTTAAGTGTTCACTTAAATCAGTCATTCAGTATTAAAAGGGACTGGTTGTTTATTTCCTCTGAGGAAATTAGTGAAAGAAGTAACAAGTGTGAATTGATATTGAATATAACAGCTGTCTTTTGATTTTTATTATACTAGGGATGCCGAGATTATTAACTTTATTCTCCCAAATACGGCGCTTATTCGTGGGAGTAAATATGGTGATTAGTTTTAAGACTTGCAGATATCTCTTGTCTTCTGTCAATGTGATTGGTCACAACACAAGGAACATTATTTAAGGGAATATTTCAGGTGTTCACGGTTTTTAGTTGTTATTTTGGTAGGAGGGTCTTAAGGCCTAAATATTCTTACAGAAATGATGAACCTAAAATGGAATTTACAGAAGGTTGGAGGAGTAAAAAGCCTTTAAACCCCCTACTGGGGTGGGGGAAGAGAGTGTGGATATTTCGTGGAGCATATTTCTATTCTTGGTTGTATGGGGCCTACGTCAATCCTTCTATCTGCCTCTATACTATTTTATATAGTTTGCTTAGAGAGCAAGAAATCCTTGCAACCTACCAGAGTAATCACTTCTCACTCCTCTAGACAGTCTTTATTTTTTTACTCAACAATGTTTGCTGCACATGCAAATTGACTATTCTTGAAATAGTTGAGTATTTACAGATGCTATATCTGCTCTTTCAGCCCACATCAATGAGAGCAATCCGAGCCCGGTACAATCCTTATTTGCAAACCAGGCACCGGATGGATCAGGTATCCTAATAATCTCAGAATTTTTTCTCCTGATAACTTTGCACAGAGACAGTTATAATGAAAACAAGGTCTGTAACCATATTCAAAATATAGATGTGCTCATTTTTTTGTGCCATTTTAACTTGATACTCCTACTACTTGTTAAAAAAATTTTTTTTTAAATACAATATTATTGTTTTAGTCACGCAGGTTGCTTTTGACATTTGCAGTCCATCAGTTTTGTGTATGCTGGATTTTCATTTTGAAAACCAGTGGTTTCCCTATGTTGTAAACGATATGTTTGGTGAATGGTTTAAATTGTAAAACTGAATATTTGATTTTTTCTTTGTTACAGCTTAAGCAACTTGGTCACAGTGTTGACAAGGTAATTAAGATGAACTTTATATATTCATCAGCATTGTGTGTTCATTTGTCTCCCATTTATATCAAGGTAGAGGTTTTAGAGGTTTGAGACTTGCAGAGATGCCAACCTCTGGAGACCTAAAATCGGGAGACTGTCTTTTTTCACTATCCCCCCCCCCCAACGAATTTCAAAAAAAAATTGACCCAGCCCCCAATGGGAATAACTTAGGACATTTTATGACGTCTTACATGATGTACATACTATCAAAATTCGAAATCATTGTTTTGATGCTAGAAATAATCTTTGTCAATGACTAAAAATATGCAAAAATGCCCCAGAAACAGTACTGCGAATAAGAAAAATTCAAGTTTTGAGCTAAAAATGGGCTAAATCTCAAACTAAGTCTGTTTTATTTTTTACTAAGTATTCAATATTTATAGTGGACGTAACAAGCGGGAGATTTATGTAGCGAAGCGGGAGAGCGGGAGACGAAGCAAAAAAGCGCAAGTCTCCCACCAAAAGCGGGAGAGTTGGCATCACTGGGCTTGAGTTGTGGATAAGGTTGTGATATTTCAACATATTGAGAACCCACCACAGAGGGAAAATCCATATCCTGATGTTATCTACATCTAAACTCTCAAACCTACTGTTAAAGGCAAAAGTAGTTAGCAAAGTGATCATAGTTACAGCTGTAGGCCTGCATGATACAAAGTCACAGCCCAGTCTTAAGTTTGTAACCAGTAGCACTTTCCACATAGAAAGAATGCAAGAGGTCATTCCCTGCCACCCCCCTCATATCAGTGGGGTGATTGAGCTAATTTGCCTGCATCTTTTAAAGGAACCCTATAATTTTCCCTTCAAAGAAAATTGAACAAGGAACTGACTGCTTGCATGCTACATGATCTTTCCTTAGATCAAAGTTCTGCAGCATGACTTCCTTTAAAAGGTGTTTTTCTGCAAAATTTGTAGAAGCAAATGGTTATGCAACCTAAAGGTTATATTGTGGTACTCAAATTTGGTCAATTTTCATCTTATCACCCTGTTAGGTATAGGCTGACGAAATAAAACACAATTTTTTTTCTTTACCTTTCTTTTGGCACAGGTTGAGTTTATTGTTATGGGAGGAACATTTATGTGTCTGGATGAAAGTTACCGAGACTTTTTCATTAGAAATCTTCATGATGCTCTTTCAGGTCACACAAGTAACAATGTAGATGAGGCTGTCAAGTAAGTACTCTTTTTCTATGACCATTTCACCTTGTTTTGGTTAGTTTGTCTTTGGATATTTTTCATTTTCGTATAAGTTATTGAATGGTGTAGGACAAAATAGCCTTAACTGACTGTTGATCTAAAATCAAACTTTCTTGGCATCACAAGCTTAATTATGAGGCAGATTGCAAGAAGAATCTATCAGTTTTTCAAAAGTCAAGTGGGAATAATTTTTCTTAATACCAGGCATCCCTTCAAACTATTATTAGTGGATTTGGTGTAATCTGGAATCATTTTGTTTTAGAAAGCATTAATTGTTCCATTGATGGACATTCAAGTGTTATGTCACCCTCACTGATGTATCTTGTAGATATTCTGAGAGGAGCAAGACAAAGTGTATTGGAATCACCATAGAAACAAGACCTGACTACTGTCTGAAAAAACATTTAAGGTAGCAAGGCTGCACTCTACACCTACATGCACTTCATTATACTCGTGGGGCTGAGTCAAACTCAAAATAAATTATTATCAAGCTGTCTGGTATGGTATGAACAGCAACAAGGCTTGAGCAACTTGTTCACTCACATCCAACATCATGCCAAGATCAACACTATGCAGCTTCTCTCCGTTACAGAAATCACTCCAAAAGCACCCTTTGTATCTGCGAACAGAAGCCCTATAGTATGGTTTTTGTGTCGGCACATAATACAGGGGCGGATCCAGGATTTTTTGTAGGAGGGGGTGCACTCATCTCTTGCTCTACTTCAACACCAATAAACCACAGTCATAGTTTTTTTTGCGGAATACCAGTCGTATTAGAAAACTGCAGGTCACCTAATAATAATCCAATATAGTGTGAACATATACATTTTTGTAGCCTCGGTTTCACCAGCATAATGAATCCCCAATTCAATGCAACCAACCAGGGGCCTTGAAAATAGTTTAATGAGGTTTTAATGATAGGAAAATGACTTATCAAGCGTCTGTAATACTTGAGCCAAAAGAATGTTGTACCAGAAGGAATGGTTCTTCTGTATAATCATTAATTGCTATTTAATAATGAGATCACATTCAAACATAGTTGTATTGCCCTTCTATCCCCTTCAAATGCTGATGAAAATAGTTTTTAAATGCAATCCGCAAAACAATGCAACATGGTTGAGAAGGAGGAGGTGCAGGCAGTCAAACTTTTAGAATGCTTGCAGCTTGAACATGATAAACAGGACTGTCTTATCATCTTTAGGTATTGGTTATGGTTAAAGTTTTGGGCAGATTACGTGAGCGCCTAAAATGTTGGCACTCATGTGTAAAGTTTTACATTGCACTTGTGTCGAACTAATTTGTAGATGAGAAGGTTTGGTTTCTTTGAAATACTGAAGAATTTAGGGGTGCAAAGAGGATATTATCTGTTTATAAAGTGTTGCATATAACAGGAGTAATACGGTAGTAATTTATTGTTATATATTAGATTGTTGGTCTTTAGTTATAAGTGAGTCTCTTTTTCGGAGCTGAGAGTAGAAATATAGCTTATAAGGATAATACAAGTCATAATTACTGCTGTTGTCCTAATATGCTTCTTGTTTTTCAGCTCAATGCTAATGTATGGCTGCACTCGTCTTGAGATTGGTGTACAGAGTGTGTATGAGGATGTAGCCCGAGATACCAACAGGTAGGGCAAACAAAACAAAACCAGCACTCAAAAGTAATAAGGAAAAGAATAATAATTTTAACCGATCATAGTTTTAACTAAACTAATTTTTGTTAAGACTGTTGTAATTGCCAATGAAATGTTTAAATAATTATATTTTCTACTGCATTTTTTCTTGTATTATTTTGTTCAGAGGCCATACAGTGAAGGCAGTGAGTGAGTCATTTCATCTGTCAAAAGATGCCGGTTTCAAGGTGAGGTCTAAAATAATGAGGTGAATTTTGTTGTTGTTGTTACCACATGTTTTTCGTTACTTTCATGGAATTTTTGTTATTATTTTTTACTATATCTTTTTCAAGTGTTGCCTATTTAAGTGTGGAAGGTACCTAATGATATTTTAACTTTCTTGCTGTGTAGGTTGTGTCACATATGATGCCTGATCTGCCAAATGTGGGATTGGAGAGAGACATTGAACAGTTTATAGTTAGTGGACTACTCATCTTTACATCTTAACTTTGAATATTACGTAAATGTGATCAGACAACATTTGAAAATAATAATGGTTGCTCTCCCAACAGGAATTTTTCGAAAATCCTGCATTTAGAGCAGATGGTTTAAAAATTTATCCAACCTTGGTTATCCGTGGCACAGGTAATTAAGTTGCAGTTTATGTTGTTGATGTTGATGAGCTTTTAAACCTCCTATGCTTAAAATCCAAGTTTTGAGTAAAGTGTTATTTTCCTTGTCTCTCACTGGATTCCCAAAAACTAACGGAAGTGTAGTCCAAGTAACCAAAAATCTTTTGAAAATTCCACCAAATAATATACTTGAATATACAAAACTTAAAAAAAAAATTGGTATAGGCTCTATTTAATATCCAGTAAGCCAGATTAGAATAATATTATTATTGTTTGATTGAAACAACAAGCTAAGCAAGCTGCTAAAACTTTATTTTGTAAAGAGATGAAGGTCGTCCTTTTTTCACAACTCACATATCTAACAAAACTGCCAAACTGTCCTATTTTGATTAATTTAAAAATTTTGAACTGATCAAGATTTCCATCGTTTGACAACTAAAAAACCACTGGTGATGGAGGCAAGACGAGTGTAAGCAGCATTTGAAGCTAGCTGCACCTGTGAGGCTGTTGTGGATATTTATGTTGGTGTACTTACAAAAGTTTTTTATTACTGGGGTGGGAAAATGATCCACTTGGTGGCCTGCTGATCCTCTTGGTTGCCTTGGTTGCAAGCTTGGGAAAAGCGTGCCATTTTTTAAAATTTTGCTCAAAGAGAAACAAATTTAAGGTGGATGGGTTTCTAGCCTGTGTACACATGGCTTGTTGGCTAAACTGACTGCAGTTGTATTTTGATGAGTCACTTCTTGATTGTGAATGAAATTTTACCCATGCTTGACTTCTTTTTATACAATGTGATTTTCCCAGTGTTGCATTACTTTTTCTCTGTCACTATTGTGAGTGTAAAATGAATCAACTTAAAGTTCTGATTCTGAAAGTTTTTAGCTTTCTCTCTGACAAGTTCATCTACCATATCTGGTCACAGCAGGGTGAAGGGCCAATAACCCTGCTCTAGAGAGCCCATCAAAATACTTGAAGTCTAATGACTACGGTCCAGATTTTAATAGTTATTTTCATTATTATTCTTTCTAAGTATTTCTCAATTTTTGATTGGCTTAAATACCCCAGCTAATTTTTCATGGCCAGCAGCCATTGACCAAATGTGGAAGATGTTTGCTAATTAATATCCTCAAAGAACAATTACTATTAAAGATAATATAATTGCCAGGAAAAAGGGACAATTGAAGGTGCAATAGCTCAGCTGTTTTGGCAAAGCTGTAGACAATGGTGGAAGATTTTACACATTATCCAAAGAGAAATAGCTGAACTGCTGTATAACTACTGTGTAAAAACATAACAAGTATAGCAAAATACCACTTGACAGATGACAACTGTCCATGCTGTGGCTAAATTTTCTCCTTTCAAGCTCATTATCATACATTAACGTACCCAAAAACAAACAACAATAAAATTTGAACCAAAGATAAAACTACAACCTATACATGTTCATTTCTCAAAAATGCCTATTGTGTTGTTTTGCACTGTGAACAGGTTTGTATGAGCTGTGGAAGACAGGGAGGTACAAGAGTTACCCACCCAATACACTGGTGGACTTGATTGCCAGAATTCTTGCCTTAGTACCACCTTGGACACGTGTCTACAGAGTTCAAAGGTAAGGCCTTATGACATAATCATTGTTCCTTATACCCGTAAAAAATATAATTTCTTATGACTGAGAGGTACGGAAAAGAATGTGTCTAAAATCTAAAACATTCTGATGACATGATGTGGAGGTGTGCAGGTGCTCATGGGATAGTTTTGGACTACTTATTCTGCTGGCATGAGAAGTGTAGCATTCTACTTCCTTTTGTGAAAAGTAACTCTTCCAATGTTGTTAGGTATTCAGAGCTGTATGTCTTTGCAGTAACCTTTCTTGCTGTGGTTTATAGTTTATGTATTTAGGTATTTAGACCTGCATCCTTTTGAAATGATATCTCTTTTTGGAGTTGTTTATGTTGTATTCAGTGTTCTTTGGTTGTTGTTTGAACACCTTTCCCAAAATTAATATATCTAAGGGAAACTGGACTATTGTTTTTTAAAACTACTTTTTTGAGGTTTTTATTTCTTATTATTAAAGAGTTTGGGAATAGATTTTTTTAGAAGAAGTAAAATTAGAAGCAGGATTTAACCTGTAGTGTCTCATGTTGCAAAAATGTTATTCAGTGGTGATACCAGGCCCTTTGTTTAAATTATGTTTGTGAACAACTAACTTCCATATTAAATTACTTAATAGTAAAGTGTACAGATATTGGTTGACTTCTTACCCATCTCATGGTAGCATCGTTACATACCGTAAAATTGCGAAAATAAGTTAAATAATTTGTTCAAAAACCCACCGTTAAATCGCCCCTCCAAATTTAAGTCCCCGGGACAAATCCCTCAAATACCCAAAGCAAAAACGGTGAATTTCTGGTGTATAAGGAACATGATTTTTAAATGCAAATTTCTCTCCGTAGATAAGCTGGCAATATGTTAAGCCCCTCCAAAAATAAGCCCCTCAAAAAGGGCCTGAAAATCTAAGGGACTTAAATTTTACGGTAACTTGTTCAAAATGTTATTTTTTAATTCCCCATGTTTAACAATTCTGGTGTGGAACATGGTAACCTGACATTAATGAAGGATCTGGGGATCTCGTTGGTTATTTCAGAATTCTTTGTTTAACGATAAATAATTCAACGATGTTAATTTCTCTACAACTCATGTCAAGTGCCACCTAAATATATGATGAGAAAACTCAAGGCAATGAGGAGGAGAGTTTCAGAAGCCACTGTTTTTTTCCAAGCACCTTAAGTTGTCAAATGTCTCTTGTTGTTTGCCAGTTGACAAGAGATTTATTAATTTCATGTTTGTCAGTGTCGTGATGTACGTACACGTGAGGTTGGTATACAGGAGATTCATCATAAAGTGCGTCCTTTTGAGGTAGGTCCAGTGCCAATGTATGAGTATGGAACTCTTTGGAGAACTGTGTAAATGGAGAGCACCTTGTATGATATATTATTATTCCGGGTATTATATTATTATTTATTTTGTGTTGTTTATTTAAGGTCCATATTAGATTCCACCCCTTTATGGCTCCAACCCCTCCCCTTGGCTAACTAGGATTGATTGTGTAACATCATGAAATGCTCTTACTTCTTGGGCAGTTGTTTTCTCTAACTGTGCCCATCAGTCTATCTATTATCAACTTCTTTCTTCTGAAGACGGAACTTACTTCTTGTCAATACGTTACAAAATTAATGGGGTATTGGTTTGTGCCAATAGGTGGTTCCTTGAAGTTTTAATACTGTCAGTTGTCAAATATGTTTTAACAAAACTCTTCCACAACTGTGAACCAATTTATGGGTAACTGAGTCGTCAAAATAAAAAAAAATATGAAATAATGTTATTTATTGAACAGACTTGATGTGTTGCTATGTAGATTGAACTTATTCGCCGCGATTATGTGGCAAATGGAGGATGGGAAACGTTTCTTTCGTATGAAGATCCGGAACAAGATATCCTTTGAGCAATTTTAGACAGAAAGGACAACATGTATTGCAAGCAACAGTCACTAGACTGCGAGCAATCTTAATTTTCTTTGCAAAGTTACTGCACGCGAAACCTAAGGACGCGAGCGGCAAAGCCGCGAACCGCGAGAAACGAGGGCTAGTCTCAATCCCTTATTGTCATAATAACGTCGTGGTTCGCAGTCGCGATGGATGAGATAAGAACTAGACGAATTTTAAGAGAAAAAGCGGACTGCAAGCAGTCTACAGTCACACTTTGTCACTACAATTAACAGATATCCTGTACAGTGATTTTGACATTGTGTAATAAAATTATATTGAATTGTATAAACCATTGAGTCAGTTAACTTGGCTCTCCTACAATCCCTTCATGTTAGAAATGAGCTTGCCCTTTCTTATAGTCTAACGTAGTAAACGAATACGTCATGTTTTCAGTAATTATTTTTATGCTGTTACTTCTTAACGTGTTTTCAATATGGGCATTATAGAATTAGAAAGATTCCGTCACCACAATCTTATTAAATTTAAAAGTAAACTGTTTTCCTTAATGTAGTTTAAATATTCTTGTTGGTTTATTGCGACTGAGGAAGTGTTCAGAGGAGACTTTCAGACCCGAGCTAAAAGGAGGCTGTTCCATCGTCAGAGAACTCCATGTGTATCCTTTGTTGCTTTGACTCAGGCTCAGGTATAATCTACTTGCTTGCCTGCCTGCCTGCCTGCCTGAGAATGATATTCATCCATTTTAAACCCACTTACTCCTCCTATCTACAGACTGTAACAAAGTGTAGAAGTACCTCTTTACAGCTTCCAAAACCTACAATCTTGGACAGAATAAAATGGAACAGCAAACCCCCATCCCCTCAAATCAAGGATGAAGCCCAGCGAAAGGGAAAACGCGTCATTTTCCCATCCTTAATTTTTTTTTTTTTTTTTTTTTTTTTTTTGGGGGGGGGAGGGTCTAAATTCTCCATCTTTTTCGTCCAAGACTGTAGTTTTTTTTAGGAATATAAGAATAAAATGTCGTACAATCAGTAGTCGGCGATCCTGCTCTTTCTACATCTCGATTATGTCTTTCCTAAAAAGAAAAACTAACTTGATCGGAGGTTAAACAATCACGTCATTAACGGGTATAGTTCGTAAAACGAGACAACCTGAGTTGTCTTATAGAGATTGTTTCTTTTAAGGCTTTTGTTAATATAAAGTGCACTGCCTTAACATTGTTGTCATAGCTATGGAAGTGTGGTCCCAGTCAGTGCTCGTGATCCATCTAAATTTCAGCATCAAGTAAGTTGCTGTATTTTATAAAGGATTTTTTTAAAGTAAGCCACAAAAAACAGGTTATCTGTGTTTATTTTGGCTTAAATTTGTAACAGTAATTTGCAAATTCCTTTACATATTGCTTGCGCGATTGTTACACAAGTTTTTATTGACTTTCAGGGCTTTGGGATGTTGTTAATGGAAGAAGCAGAGAGGATTGCTCGTGATGAGCACGGTTCAGTGAAAATCGCTGTTATTTCAGGTAGGCTAACGAACAGTTCTCGCTTTTTTATAATAGAGGTAATGATAAGTATGCAGACGATTTAAGTTTAAAGAACCTTCTCTAAATAAGTAGCCTTGCAACCCCAAAAATTCAGATCGGTGTATAGGCATGATAATCCGCAAGCAAGTGATCAACGACAATAAGGGGAGGCATCGGCCGCTTTCGTTTGCCCCTCAGATCGAGTTTCAACTCCGCCCAGTTTTCGAGTTCACCTCGCCGTTTCAACCTACTAAAAACTCTTAGCGTTTATGCATGTACATTAGTGGCTTTAGAATTGGACAGAGAATGTTGTCGAGAATATGCGTGTTGATATTCTAGAAAAAAAATGTTACCATAATACAGGGCACAAACTGAAATTGTCTAAAACAAAACGCAGTTTTTGGTATAAGAACTTGTCAGAATTATCGCCTAAAATTTTGTCAAGTTCCCAGATTAATCGACCTCATCTAATGAGACCACTTCCCTTACCCTCCCCCCCCCCAAAAAAAATAAATGATCTACCAGCCACCAGTCGTCTTGAAATCTCTCTGAATCAAGAAAATTTAATTCCCTGTCGCGGTTCTTTCACAGGAGTTGGAACTAGAAATTATTATCGCAAGATTGGCTATGAACTGGAAGGACCATATATGGTAAAGAATCTATGGTCAACATCATGATATTACCGACGGCGGTACCTTGCATCTGGAAAGGTCAATCGTGTCCGTTTCCGTGTTATTCATTGCCGCGTTAGATGCACAATTCGGAATATTGGACATGCTTTCCGGGCTTTGGTAGAGTTACCGACATCTGTGAGAATAAATCGATCAGAGCTGATGCCACACTGAAACATAACCTTGCAAGACTATGCGATCCTGGTAAAGGTTGTTAGAAGACTCAAGCTGGACAGAATAGCTACATGTACCAAGTAATGTGGCTTCAGATCTTTTGTCAGAGAAAGGACGAAAGACTCTATTCGTATAGGACAGGAGAAAACGTTGCTCCTGCTTACAAGACATCCTTCGTCTTGAGCCTATTCATTTTTTGGATACAGTAAAAAACCCCGAGTAAGAACCTGCATTTTCCCAAGTTAGCCTAAACAGGGTCTTGCATATTAATTAGTGCAAATTTAAGCTATGTACGTTATTAAATACAGTAGGTTCTTATTTTCTGAAGAAAACAATACATTGTCGCGAAGAGCATTCAGTGGTATTCAGGTTATTCCTTATATAAAATCTGCATACCATTACATTGCAGTTGGAGTGAAAAGGCACCTGTCTCCAAAGAGGATCCTGAATGTTGAGCTATCTTATTTGCCCAATTGTACAGAGATTTTTTTATCGGTTTTCGAAAAAAAGAACCTGTTTCAAATTTGAGGCTTAAATAGGTTCTTGTATAGAGGGGGACGCCTAACTGGCAAATTCAAGCCTAACAGTTCTTACTCGCGGGTATTTACTGTATTCCTTTATTTACACAACAAAAGTTACAGTTAAAATAGTTAAACTGAACGGAAGGACAAATGTCATAACTGGACCAAAATACAAGAGAAAGAATCAGAAAGAATAAGAATGATACAGAAGTTGTGAGTAAAAAAATATGCGATAACACTGGACCCGTAATCAACAGATTTTTCCAGTAATTCGAATTCTTTCTAACTAATAAATTGAAGAGTGGGGTTTTTCGAAATCGTACCTCCAACTGATCTTAGTCTTATACGGATCAAAAGATGATCAAACTGGCTTAGCTTCAGGTCTTTTTGGAATATTGTTATTCCTTTATTTCTTGGTCTTGTCTGACTTTGTACGCTAAGATCTCATCCCCTAAAATAACTAAATAAGGGGACACAGGACAACCTTGTCTAACTCCTTTGACAGTTTAAAGAATTTTGCACAAAATTATTTGTCAAGAACAGTGCTTTTCGAATAAAAATGGAAAAAGTTAAGATTCAATGTTGTATGTTGTCTCCAAAGTTATGGAGTGCGAGACTTTTTTTAATGAAGCTCCGTTCAATAGTATCGAAAGCTTTGCAAAAATCAAGTTGTGCAAGAATACCTGGAATGTTATGTATATTTGTTTGTTCTACGACGTTGTCGACCAATCTAATCGTATTCCCCCCCCCCCCCCCCTGTATCTACCTTTTACAAAGCCTGTTTGGCCAGGCTTATTAGAAAACCAAAATCTTTTCTAATCCCGTAGCAGTGACGGTTAATGCAGTCTTATAATCAACATTTAGCAGCGTAATAGGTCGCCAGTTTGCTAGTTTAGGGGGTTCGAGTCTTCTTTTGGGAGGAGAGTTATTACACCTCTTCGCTGCGACATCGACATTTGTCTGTCTCGTATGCATCATTGAAGCAATCTTGTCCTCGATCGAAGAAACGATATGATAGAACTCATGTGAAGCCGTCCTCGCCTACTGCCAACCTTTAGCTGCCGGAAGTCACCACTCTTCTTTGCACTCCGCCATTGTAATTTCACCTTCGCATTCGTTTATTCGCGGTCGGAGGTGAACAAGATCATACAATTGCTTATAGAAAGTTTCAATTTCGTCTAATATATCGCCCTCATTGGTCGCTCCAGCTTCTTGATTGACTTACGATCGAAGTTCCTCTTCTCTAGATTGAAAAAGAAAGCAGTCGGGTTTTCACCTTGTTCAATCCTTTGATCTTTTCTTTTGATAAATTAGATTTATCTTTTAAAATGAATGATCCTATCCTGCACTTGCAGTTTATTTTGCCTGCACTTGTAATCTATTTTGAATGTATCTTTCTCTTTAGAGGAGCTGTTTAGCTTTGTTCTTAGAAAAGCCTTGGTGATGCTACGTATTTCCTTCTTAATGAGTTCTCACTTTAGGCTTTTTCTCTTCAGTTAAAAAGTGTGTTAGTTTTGGATGGCAGCATGGTAGTTTAACATATATTTTGTCTTCAAGCAACGAATTAGGGCCTATTTACATGGAGGTGGGGGACTCCAGGTAGCTGAGATAACCTGTGGCGGGTCACCCCACTTATCATGTAAATGTGATCAAATTAAAAGATCTTAAAATGAGAGATTTTATGGACCGGTGGGTTACCTCACCTTCCTGGGGTCCCCCACCTCCATGTAAACAGGCCCTTATGAAATTTACATATCACAGGATCTCTTTTACGCGGCAATTTCCAGTGACAATTTGAGTCTAACCGGCCTATTCAATTTTATTCTCCCAGATTTAGTTTTTTATTTATTGGTTGTTCATACCAGCTGATTTCATAAGGTGAACAGAACAAATGTGGACCTTTTTCTTATTGGTTAAACGGCAATCACGCTAAAAATTTTTAAATAATCTGGATGGGGTTAACTGACAACTGACAAATGGCCAAAATTTCAACTGACGACTGACAAATAGCCTAAAATGTAACTGACTACTGACATTTGCCTTGGGATTTACTGATAACTGATAAAGGACATGATAGTCCTTTATTTTCTACAAAATCGTTTTTGAGGCCTTAAATAGCATTGTTCCACTCTTTTCGTCAGACAATGTGATCAAATGTGCGTTTTTCAACGGGGGTAATCTTAGCAGCAAGACGCCTAAGTGTCATATTTCGTTAATGATTTACTGTAAAATCCATGTGTGTCATCTGTGTGTCATGTACCATGTATGATCTCAAATTTACGCTACTCTGAGAACACGTAGAAAAGCAATTGGAAGGTTTACCAAGATAATTCAGATAGACAGTCTTTTATACTTGGTTTTCTTTGTCTCGGCCAGACTGGTCGTGACCTTCCGTCCTAATATTTCCAAACGTTACCGAAAATTAAATGTCCTCCCAACTTTTTTTAGCTGATTTCGTTAGAACAAAAAAAGGACACCAAGTGCGTGAGAACAATTTTCACTTTGTCGTCGGCCACTTGAAATATATAAAAAAAAAATTAAGGAATCAAGTTTTTCATTTAATGGTTTTATCAAGAAAAATATACAAATAAGTTTCATGGTTTATCAGGAATAACCATTTAACTGACAACTGAAAAATTTTTATATAACTATTGTAAGTATACTTAATTTTGGAAGATTTTTTCCGGGGATTTTTTATTACCATGGAAGTTAGGTTTTTAATCATTTTCTTAACTATATGTTCTTATTTTTGTATGCTACCGAAAGAGGTCATCAGATGTTTGCAAAGTATGCAAAAAACTTTACTAGTACTAGTAAAAATATCTTTAGTAAAAACCTTTAACAGTGAATATTAAAGAAACAAATTTATTAAATTACATAATGTATACTAATAAATGGAGAAATGGGCAAAAAAGAAATGACTTTTTAGCGAGAAATTGCATTTATTAGTATTTAAATAATATAAACTAATAAATGGAGAAATGGGCAAAAAATGAAATGACTTTTTAGCGAGAAAATGCATTTATTAGTATTTAAATAATATATACTAATAAATGAAGAAATGGGCAAAAAAAGAAAAGTTTTTTTAGCGAGGAAATTTATTTATTATTATTTTAATAACATACACTAAAATATGAATTCCCACCGAAAGAAAGAATTATAAAGCGCGGCCATCCTGACTACCTGTCAGCAGGAATATAACCCTATTTGTAACTAAGTTACAAAGTGAGTGATATACTTGAGTCTTCTGAGAGTAAATTTTATGTCTTGATTGAATTTTTTCCATGAATGACTTGATATGAAAACAACTGACACGGATCGCAAAAACAGAACTTCCGTAATCAAAGAGAACGGCAAGATACGGTTGGTACGAAAATAAACAAACTTCAAACAGGTCCTGCTGTGTTGGACATCATATGTCAAAAGAGTCAACGACGAGCTTCAATCGTAAAACAAGACTTGATTGCACCAGTTGATTACTGTCGATTCTCTAGCAAGTCAGTGAAGCGTTATGGGAGAATACAAAACACCAGCCCTGTTGATTCAAGATTAATTATAAATGTGGTGGTTTGTGTAAATCAAGGCAGGGTCTTTGATGATCTTGTTTTCCTTTTGCGTTCAATAACATATGAGTGTATTGCCGTCAATATCTCTTTGCCCTGAAAGTTTGTTGCTAAAACAAACAAGATAAGAAGCTAAAGTGGGAACGCTGGTACCTGGATGTACGTGACATCAAATTACCTCAGGAGAGTCGACACCATTGCCTCTTAATATCGCCTTAAACATTGGCAGGCGTGAAACCACGTTGAAACTTCTTAACATGGGACACTCGACTTTGTGGCAATTGACAATTCTTTTTACATTTGCGCTTATTTCTATGGTACCGTCAAGACACATTCAGAATTCTCACTCGAAGATTCAACAAGATGCCTCAAAATCTGGAAAGCCAGGGGAATACTTATGGTATAAAACTGACTCTTCGCGAGCAGAAATCAAATTTGCGAGGAGTTTGATAGCAAAATCACACGATTCAACGGAGAGTGAACAAAGTGGAGCACTTCCTTCTCTCGGAGAGGAGGACATCAGTGGAAGTGCAGAATCTTCGAGCGAGGACACCGGCAACTTACAGACATCAGGGAGTGGCGGCTATCCAACAAGTTACATGGTGGACATTCAAGAAAACACAAATGTAGAGACCAGTTCAGTAGAACCTACTGGCGAAGCTTCATTAGATGAACATAAGGCACCCGCAAAAATTAAACAAGACAGAGAAGAGCAAATTGAGAAATCTCCTGGAAGAGCAGATAAACCTTTAGGGAAAACAACAAATGAACAAGTTAGCAGTGAGAGTGCTTACGGTGAAGAAAAGGCGTTATTGAAAGAAGGCAGTGGTAAAGACAACAGCAATGGAAACTATAAAGAGGAGAAAATCACGGCACCTGCTGTTGAAAAACAAGTAGTAAACCCAAAGAGAAGAAGTGAAATTTCCCGCAAATCGAAGGTGGAGAAAGAAGATGGTGACAGCGAATACGAAAAACTGTTTAGAGATTTCGGGACAGAGGGAGACCTGGATCCAGGCCTTGAAGATGATGACAGTGACTTGGATGACTCGCTGAGCGACGAGGACACCAAACTTTTGATATCTGACGAAGATGAAGACTCTAGTGGTGAAAGCAAGAGTTATATAAGCAGACCTGCTGATAAGAGTAAAGTTAAACACAAATCATCGCAGTCATCGAAGACGAAGGAGATCCTCGCCAGACTCGACACTGATGTTTTTAGGGGAAATAACAGCGAAGAACACGAGAAATTTTACAGGAAAAAACATCCAGATCATACAGTTCGTCTTAATAATCATTACGACAAAGTAGCAAACCAAACACTGAACAAAGAGGGCGATGAATCCAAGGCGTTGAGTCACCACGCTGTCGGTGGAATATTCAATGGGAGTGTAAGCAAAGTAGTTTTAGAAGCAGAATCGAACAAACGTAGTCGTGACGAGCATCATCACCAGGGAAAACATGATAACGATCAACCTCGTCGTCATCCTCCTCATCATCATCGTCGCAATGATCGCCATCATCATCATCATCGTCGACGTCACCATCATGATAAACATCACAATAAGAAGGGAACTAAAGTACAAAAAGACAACGCTGGAGAAAACAAGGCTGCTGTACATCAGGCAAATTCCAGTGCTTCGTACGGCCGACCGTCCATATATTACCCCTACCCAGCCCAGTACCCGGCAGTACAGCAGTTGTCCCCTTATCAGTCCTATGACGCGACGCCAAAGAGCGAGTATGCGTACCATTCATTGCAGAAGGCGGATAATGAAGGCGCTGTGTGTCTGGATGGATCCACTCCTGGTTACTATTTGAGGAAAGGAACGGGTAAAGGTACCAGGAAATGGATCATCTATCTGCAGGGCGGGGCTTGGTGCGAGACCAAGGAGTCGTGTTTGAGTAGAAGTCAAACAAACCTGGGCTCCACGCTCTTCTTAAAATCTCTTGGCGAGCCTGGCGGATTTTTATCCAGCGACAAAGAAGAAAATTCGAAATTTTACAACTGGAATATTGCTTATCTTCCCTACTGCGATGGCTCGTCGTTCTCAGGCAACAGAGTAGATCCCGTGGAAGTAGAAGGATCCCTACTGTACTTCCGAGGATTTCGAATTTTGAATTCCACTATATCTGAATTATTATCTGACAAAGATCTGGATTCAGCAAGCCATGTTGTATTTTCTGGTACCTCGGCTGGTGGACTAGCAGTTATGCTCCACGCGGACTTTGTGCGCTCTAGACTACCAAGAAAAGTTCACTTTCGCACTTTAGCAGATTCAGGATTTTTTCTGGACACAGGCTCCCAAAAAAGCAAGGGTGAGCGCAAATTCCGAAAACAGATGCAATCTGTTTTCAAGCTTCATGACTGCACGGATGGCGTCCCTCAAAAATGTGTCGAAAAAATGCCCGGAAAAGATCTTTGGAAATGCATCTTTCCACAATACTTTTTACGATATGTCAAGAGTAAGATATTCATTGTCAACCCTCTGTACGACTCCTGGCAGTTGGGCAATATTTGGGAAATTGGATGTGCTTCTAACCCGTATACATGTACAAATAAAGAAGTGAAGCAGATAAAAAAATTCAAAAAAGCCACTTTAAAAGCCATGAAAGAATTCTTGAATAGATCGAATATTGGACTATTTGCGGATTCCTGTATAGATCATGGCCAAGTAGTCTTTAGTAATCGATGGAATGAGATAAAAGTCAAAACAGCTGCCAAGGATTGGTCAATATCATCCTCCTTTATTCGGTGGCTGCAACATCCAAAGAAAAAACTTTTTATCGATGACTATGACTACCCGGCAAATCCAACATGCGTCTCAATCGACGTGGATAAGCGCTCAGAGATTTTAACAGAGGGTTTTTAGCTTTAGAATTTATACATCTGATACATGAGTGAAGTTTGTAAAGGATTGGATTGATGTGTATCTAGTTAACGGGATAACTGTTCTAGATTAAAGCGAAAGTGGACTGACTCTGGAGAAATTTTTAGTCCTGGTATAAAACGTTTTTGTTGTTTTTAAAGTTATATATAATTTCGATTCAGCTGATTTAAATTTGAGCAAGAGAGGATAAAGGGCTTATCCTCCCTTGATGTGATACCTGGTTCAGACGCCGTACTTTTCATGTGCCGAACCTAATTGAATAAGTTCGACTTTGGAGCGACGTTGGCGCGACATCTGCTTCAGACGTCGCACCGTGTGTCGAGCCTAAGTTAATAAGTTCGACAAAAGTTCGACACTCTCTGTCGAACTTAACGCTTTCGCCGCACCAAACTAAAACTGTCGTACCAAATTGATTCAGACGCAGCTCTTTTGCATGTACTTCATTCATCAGTTAGGTTCGGCACAGGAGTGGAGAGGCGTCTGAACCGGGCCTGAGTCCTCTCGCACTAAAATGGGCACCGTTCATAAATGTTCGTCTAAGTTCGTAAATGTTCTTCTAAGAGAAGTACGGTAAACACCCGTGTATAAGAACAAATCGATTAAGAACATCAGGCTGAAATTTGGCCTATAAAGCACCATATATATAAGAACCAGTTCAGCCTGATAACCATGTTTTCGTATAATAAGGGAGAACGAATCGGAATAAGAAGGCAATGTAACTATGGTTGCTGCCAGACAATTATAAAACCATAACAGTTGCCTGGGTGTCTTTAGGATTTTAATCTCCAGCTGACGATCATGTTATGCTGACAGTTTTAATTTATTTATTGATTTACTGATTTGCTAACTTACTTACCTATCTATTTATTATAAAATAATTATGCTAACTAAACCTCTAATAACATGTTATGTGTAGTATTTCTGAAACAAAGTTTAAGAACATATTAAGAACATCTTCAGGGTGATTTCTCAATAAGCACCCTATGAATAAGAACTAGATCACCCTGAAGCCCGAAATCTTGTGTTCTTATATGAGAGTGTTTACTATACCTTACAGAGAGTCCCAAAAAATGACTGAAGAACGACAAGGAACATCTCTAGGTGTCTGTTTTAGGGAGGTGTCCGAATGACTGTAGACCTTCGTAAATAACTTTTAACGTTTTAAGGAAGTGTCTTATTTATAGAGATTCAAAGAAAATGACTGAACAACGGCAGAGACAAAGGCTACTGCGTTTGTTTAAGGGAGGTGTCTGTTAAGAGAGTTTTAAATGTAATCAAAATAAAAGTAGTCGAGACTCTCAGAAGATTAAGTTGCCTTTTTTTTCAGTTAAAGAACTGCGTGTTTTGCAGTTCATTGCACAGTTAGTAAATTTGATCAAATATAGTGGAAGAAAAATAACTTGCCTCCTTTTACCTTCTTTCACTTTTTTAAAAGACGTTCTAATTTCCCGTTAGTTATATTATTGTAAGGATATTACGAATCGATACCGGTGCCTTTAGTTTTTCTCTGAATACATCAGTTTACACAATTATTTTTAGACAATTGTGCTAAATGACGAAGTACCGTAAAATTCCGAAAATAATCCCCGGGGCTTATATTTTTCAGAGGCCCTTTTTGAGGGGCTTATATTCGGAGGGGCTTATGTACGGAGGGAAAATTGCGTTTCGTAATCTATTGGGCTAGCCTTATAGTTGGAAGTAAATTTACCGTTTTTGCTTTGTTTTACTTTGTATTTGAGGGCAATTTTCCAAGTACGAACCCCCGGGGGGCTTATATTTGGAGGGGCGATTTAATAGAGGGGTTTTTTGCGTTACCGGTTTGGGGGGTTTATATTTGGAGGGGCTCATACATAGAGGGGCTTATTTTCGGAATTTTACGGTACATAATTACAGTGATAGACGAACCCTCAGTTTCCTCAACAAAGTTTCTTGTAACGAGTGTAAGCAAAGAGGTACGTTTGTCATATTGAAAATAAACTTGTTTAGACTGATCGGTTCTTTTGGTTGATAATATTGCTTCAAGTTTGGTTGACGAGTAGACTAATTTATTAGATTCGCAAACTGACTGGTCTTTCTTTCGAGGACTGAATAATTTTATGAAACAACACGCAAAAACAAAATATGTATTATACTTTCACCCCTTTAAATTTAGAAGTGATTTGTACGTAACTTCTCTCTGTAACATCAATACATGTCATACATTGTCCAGCAGACAGGTTATGAGATTAAGCAAATATATCAGCGAGACGAAGTTATCTTGATATAACCCAGAATTCTCTTAAACAATGTGCAGAAACATGTATAGCAGCCAGAAAGGAGAATTTCTTATCAGATCTTGGGAGTTTAAATCGAACAAGCTACCAAAGATTGAAACACATAGTGTGAGGCCAAAACAATGAATCAGAATGACGATTCCATTATTTGCAACCGGTTACACTGGTATTTAACTTCGTCTTCTTTCTGTCTCACAATCATTACAATAATTTCTTCGACCTTTATGGAGTTTTTTCTTCAGAGAAAATATTTGGGAGCTTTTTCTAACCCATCGAAATTACATTCAAGTGGAAATAATATTTTAAAGATTGCGGTTGCATACAAGACTCAGAAGTAGTGCTTGTGTGTCAGAAAAAAGGCACAAAAAAAAACAACAGTCCTAGAAAAAAAAAGAATCATAAAACTGACGAGCACGTGCTACCGGAAGCGTACGGAGATATTTTTTGTCGCGATTTCTTATTCGAATTCCTGTTAGAAGTACCTGTATAAGCGCTATAAACAATAGACCTTTCTTTGTTTCTTTTTTTGCGACATTCTAAAACAAAGACTTAAACACTACTTTCTATAATTCTAAACTGTAAAAGATATCATGATATTTTTGAACTTCTTCCAAAGTGCCTCAGTCTGAGGTCCGGTCCACACGAAATCGGACATTTTTGAAACCACACATTTTTTTTACCCCGATTCATGTGGACGGGGCCTTAAACAACTCTGGAGAGAGGAGGGTTTTTAATCGTGTAAAAAAGTATGCGGCTTCAAAATATTTACGGATTCATGTCTACAGGGCCTGAGAATTCGCCAAATACTATTAGAATATCAATTATGTCCAATGGAGAAAACAAAATGCAAGTGGCCAATTTACTTCTTCGGATCTTGTTTACTGTGGGTAATGTCGACTGAGATATCGGCCGACATAGCGGTCGATATAGCGGTCGACAGTCGGTCGATATAGCGGTCGACAATCGGTCGATAGTCGGTCGATAGTCGGTCGATAGTCGGTCGATAGTCGGTCGATAGTCGGTCGATAGTCGGTCGACGGTCGGTCGATAGTCGGTCGATAGTCGGTCGATAGTGAGATAGACTATCGGCCGAGTATCGGTCGATATTTCGACGACGCACTTCGACTTACTATCGGTCATATGTCGGTGATATATCGGTCAACTGTCGGTGATATATCGGTCAACTGTCAATGGTATATCAGTCAACTGTCGGTGGTATATCGGTGAACTGTCGGTGGTATATCGGTGAACTGTCGGTGGTATATCGGTCAACTGTCGTTCGAATATTAGTCGTGTGTTAATTTATCAGGTGAGTCCAATGGCTTTTTTTTAAGCAAAGACGTCATTAATTACTGTTATCATGCGATGGGGAACATGTGGCAGTGCAAGGTGCGATTACGCTATGAAGAGAACCGAAGAGCACTGGGAACTAAGGACATGATAACCTTTTCTTTTTCCAGTTTGTATCATCACCGATCGTCTGAGTTTTAGCTGTTAAACAGAACCTGTCTCAGCCTAAGTTGAATCTGCTGCTCCTGTGGTCCCGCAAAAATGTAGGAAAATGTAGGAAATGCTAAGTGTCGACCGACCATCGACCGAGTGTCGACCAATTACTGACCGACTCATCGGTCAAGTATCGACCAACTATCGACCAAGTATCGGCGAAGTGTCGGCGAAGTGTCGGCGAAATGTCGGCGAAAAGTCGGCGAAGTGTCGGTGAACGAAAAGCTATATCGGCCGAGACACATCTGGAACGACTATCGGCCGTGTCTCGACCGAGTGTCGACCCACTATCGACCGACTATCGACCGCTATATCGACCGACTGTCGACCGAGTGTCGACCGACTATCGACCGAGTGTCGACCGAGTATCGACCGACTGTCGACCGAGTGTCGACCGACTATCGACCGAGTGTCGACCGACTATCGACCGAGTGTCGACCGCTATATCGACCGCTATATCGACCGATACCTCGGTCGACATTACCCACAGTAAACAAGATCCACTTCTTCTTGGTTCTTTTAAACATAGTTTTTAATTTGTATCCAATCAAAACTCGACAGATATCAAAATAAAGCGACTGATTTTATTTAGTGTGCTTAGTAACTAAAACACTTTACTTGAAAAGGAGCAATCCCGGTGATGTTTTGGTTAACGTACCACTCTAATGAAGGCACGCACTCTTCTCGATTAAAAAACACGTGTGTTATGTTTCATAATTACTGGTTCGATTTCAGCTACGTTAAAGAACAAAGGGTTACTGCCATTCTTTCCACAAAGCCCAGACCTTCTGTAGTGCGCTAGCGCCGATCTCGCTTAAAATTCGATATCAAGATGTTTCGGTTATGGTGGATAACAGTGTTCGTTGTTGGACTGACTTTCAATGTCGTGTCATCACATGATGACCTACCGCCCGGCCATTCTGAGGACGAACATGATGAAGAACCAGAAGACCAGGCAGATGAAAATGACCCGGATAAAGAGGAAATAGACGACGAAGAGAAGGACGACGATGATAAAAGCGAGGATGTTGAAGATGAAGGTCAGGAAGATGAGGAAGAAGACGAAAGTCAAGGAGATGAGGACGATGAACAAGATCATAACAACTTGGAACATGACGCGTTTTTGGGTAAGTATAGGGACTGCGTTTGCCCTCACGTTTTTTGTTATCACTATAAAGAGCGAAAAGACACTATGGCTACAATTCAAGATCAAAAACATCAACCTAGTCTACATCTGAGTAGGCACCGAGATTAGTTTAGTTTTTTTTTGTCGTATCGAGTGGCCATACATTAGAATTTCAAAGTGCTTGGTTACAATTTTATGGATCCAATGACTAAATATTTAAAGGAATCAAATTAGAAAGCCTACGGCAAGACCTGATGGAGGTCCCACTGCTTAAGATATGGCCAAGTTTATGTCTGAAGCTGAAATCCACTTTTAACAAATCTTGATGCCCTATCAACATAAGTAGGGTAATCAGTTTTTTAAAAATCGTCGCCTGATACAGCCCATTTGTTTTTTGACTATAAAAAGGACCGACTATTCCAGAAATTATACTTTGGTTTCTGGATAGTTAAGAACCTGTGGAAAACATCTGATAGCACCCCACCACTCAAGCGGTAAAGAAGGTTAGACAAATGTTACTGTTAAACTTGCAGTTTTCATTTAGAGGTGTAAATGAAAAGAAACACATTAGCACCGCCTCCCAGAGACAGCACAGATTTTTCTAATTGAATGAAGGAAGCGGAGTTGTAACAACCAAACCAGTGTATTCCTTTTATTAACATATCTTCGCAATTAATAATTCAAAGTTCAATTAACAAGCGTCTTCTAAGAAATAAAAAAATTGTCAGCAGGTACATGTAAGTGCAAATCGCCTCCTCTTTCTTGATCATTTTTATTTTTAGCTTTAAGGACACATCCCTTTATTTTCTTGTTGTTTCATTTTGTTTTAAATTTCTTTTTTTCTTTCTTTTCTGTTCTGAACTCTAATGAATGAATTGAGAGATCACGGCAGTCGAATGCATGAAAATGATATCAGCGCCCTCCTTAGGCGCTTCGTTTTTCACACAGAGACGAGCGCGAAACGCTAGTGACACGCGAGTGACTGGTGATGAAGCGCAAGGGACTGCCTTCCTAAACGCGTAATATTTTCATCGAGAGAGAGACTTCTGGGTACGAAAACTAAACACACAAACGAGGGGACTGATATTAAGTATCTAAGGGTTTGAGTTCTGTAACACTCCATTTGAGGCCGTTTGACATCGGAAAGTTAAATTTGTAGGCAAGCAGTGAACACTTAAGTTTCGTTTCATATTAAACATAAGAGTTTTAGCTCTCTTTTGAATAACAGTTAATTAAACACGCACTGAAAAGTATTAGCTGTTTTTATATCGTTGTAGCCAAGGGTATAAGGGACATTCACGCCGGTTAAACGAGTTGCGTTTTAAACTAGCCTGTCTACAGACGCCCCCCTCCCCTCACTAAAATTCGGGGAGGGGAGGTGGGCGTCTGTACACAGGCTATATAAATAAACCCTCTTTTTATTTATAAGGGGATAACTACACGGAGTTTAAAGGACTTTCTCCCGAGGACGCGAAAACGAAACTAGCGCAGTTGATTAAAGATGAAGTGGACCTGAACAAAGATGGCGTCCTAACGGAAGATGAGATCAGGCAAAGATTTCACCTGACCAACAAAGAGTACAGGAAAAAAGAAGTCCTGGAAACCATGAAACAACATGACGAGGGTAAGTTACATGAAAAATTTCATTTTTGTATAGAATTGGACCGGGATTGCATATTACATACTAGATGCACGATACGAGCTTAAATAACAGAAAATAAGTGAATCGGTGAACATAAAACACGATTTACTAAAGCCTGGGTCATAAGTGCGCCAGGGAGACGCCAAGCCATGGGGAAAAGGAGCGTGTTTCCCTTGCGCACCCGAAGTGATGATAACTAAAAAAGTGAAAAAGGAGTTACTGAAAAAAAAAAAAAATCAAATATGGTGAATTAGGCAACGTAAAAAGATTGAAAAACTTAAACGGCTTCGATTCGAACGACACATTATCAGAGCAAGTCTGCAAGCTCAGCCCTGATCTAATTTAACAAGGTGAATAGACCTGTCGATTAGTGAAAAAAGTTTTTTAGCCTATTAGCTTCTTTCAAAAGGGCCGTTTTTTCACTTCATAGACAAAGATGGCAAAGTGTCCTGGGAGGAATTCAAAAAGGGGCACTATTCTGATGATGGCAAGGACGAAGACAGCAAAGAACAAATGAAAGAAGACGAAGAGAAATTTAAATTTGCTGATGAAGATGGAGATGGCAAATTAGATTTAGAAGAATACGTGGCATTCTACCATCCTGGAGTAAGTAAACGTGTAGACTGCAAAACAGTTCGTATTTTTCCGTATTCAAGTAGGCGCGAACAGTCAAATAAAAGGTCTGGAGAAGGCTGAAAACGGAGAGCGAGACTGAGGAGAAACTTTAACGCTACGCTAAACTGATTTTGAGAAAAAAACCTCACCGTTTTGCAGTCTAGTAAACTTATCTCGTACCTAGATCTCTTTTTTACGAAGCCGAAGAGATCTGGGTACGACATTACTAGTAAACATCAAAATAAGGGCAAATGACACGTGGTATACTTTCATTAGTTACTCGACTTTGCTCCGCGTCAACATTTTGCATGTTTCGGTGGGAATTGAGGATTGCATTTATTCATAACGGGGAACAAGACGTTTTAAAAGCATATATGTACTTAAGCGACTGGAAATCTTTAAAAGGGGCTACAATAGGATAGTTACTCGAAAAGGCACCTTTCGGGTTAGCGAGTTATGAAAATTCTCTGCAACCCCCACCCTCCCCTACCCCCTACTCTCGCTAAAATCCCTTAAAATCTTAAGTATTTCAGTCACGAGTTGTTTGCAATATAGATAATGGTAAAAAGCAATTGTCATTTAGCTATATAAAAAGTACTGGCTAATAGTCCGCTCAAGGGAAAAACGGTTCGGTTATGTTGCTCATGCAGTTATTAACCAAAACGCTTCTATAGGTATATAAATAGGTGAACGTCCGTTTTTGGTCAACAAATATGGTATATAATAGAATCCAGAACTCAGGGGTGGGGGTTGAAGTATTGTTACAAACACCATGTTTCTGTCTGTACGTTACACAATTGTTGAAATTATTTTTTTTAACGTTCCAGCCTCTATTCTTAATTGCTAAGGAACTTAAGCAACAACGAAGACGACGACTACGAGAAAGTAGAAAAAAAAAACAAACAAAAAACAATAGATTCATTTAACAACAACAACACTGCACGTGCATCACACTTTTTGGTACATGTCTTTACACGACTACGACTTGAAACGTCCTCATTCAAGGTTTTATGGAGAACCTAATTACAAGCCAACGAGTTGTTCTCTCTCTTTTCTTACTTCCTCTTTATAGCAGTATTGAAAGACTAATATTTAGGGAAAATCTCACCGTTATATAAAGTCAAGAGAGTATAAATATTTTTCGCCATTTTGCTGTGGCTTGCAGGATAATCCACGGATGGCCGAGTTTACGATTCAAGACAGTCTAAAAAAACACGATAAAGACAAGGACGGCGAGGTATCAAAGAAAGAATTTTTAGGTAAGAAAATCTTCCGTCTGGTATTTAAACCCTCGTTTTGCAAAGGTCTTTAAATAACAGAAGAGTAATGCTTAGCACGAGGTACAAAACTTACGTCTCGCTCTGTTTTTTCCATTGTATTGTAGTATTGTAGGGTCTCCAAAATCCTCTTCTTTCAAATCGGGGTTTACGAAGCTGTCCCTTTCAATATCGGGACCTTTTGATAGCCTCAGACTTTCTACGAGAAAATTAAAAAAATCAAACTTCCATGCAAAAGCCTGTCTCGTTGAATGACGGAGGCAAGAAGCCGTGGGCGCTAAAAGGCGGGAAAATTTCGCGGGAATTTCGTTCGCTCCTTCCGATTGGTCAAATGCAAGAGATCATATTGATCCCTTGTCAACCGATAAATTTAACTGGCTAGAACTCATTTTGATACGAAAACTTCAGTGAATAATTGTTTCAATATGCGGTTAAATATGGTGCTTGCTCTTAAAACATGCCATATCAAATGGGCTCATTATTCCCCGTCTCTTCCCTCATCCTCGCTTTAAATATTTCTTTCAGCCACCTTTAGCGATGTCAATGATGATGCAAAAGAAGAAATGGAAAAAGATTTCACCAACAGTTTCGATAAAGACAAAAATGGAAAGCTTGATAAAGAGGAGATGAAAAGCTGGCTTTTCCCGGACGACGATTTCTCACAAGAAGAACCAAAAACATTGATCAAAGAAGCAGACGACAATAAAGACGGAAAGCTGAGCATGGATGAAATTATGAACAACTACAAAGTCTTTATCGAAGATGAACCGAATGATGAAAATCATGATGAATTGTAAAACTAACCTCCGTCCTGCTGTAATGATTTTTTTTAGTTTTAGATTACAAAATTTCTTATTGCTCAACAGAGACTTCTTACTCAAAGAATTACAAAATCGATGTCGAATCTCCCCTCTACATTCAAATCTTTATTAAAGCAACGACTACAATCATTACAGTCACTCTGTAACAAACTCTCAACCAGCTTATCAAGGCATTGAATTCCATGGAATAAAGTCTCTCTGTTTACCCTTTCTTACCATGTAAGTCTTTTTTAGGCATACCCTGAGCAAAAGGGTAAGACAGCTGATTTTCCATATTCCGGAAACCCGGGTGGGGGGGGGGGTACTTGGGTTTATTTTGCTGGGTATGTGCCGCTGACCTCTCTAAGCCCCTACCCGGTTATAGTCTATTCTGTGGCCAATTATATACCCCATCTTAGTCACTTTTGGGCAAATATGTAATTTTCGCGATCCCAACTTAGTCACTTTCTATTTTTATGAATTGAGCCATTTTTAGATTGAACGAAGAACACTTTACTTCTCATCTGCAGTATACGTTTGCTAACCCTAGATATGAAGAACTGTCTTACCCCAAAAAATCCGAAAATGTGCGACCCCATTCTAGTAACTCTATTGAAAATGCGACCCCATTATAGTCAATACAGTCATGAACTGCGACCCCATCCAGCGGCACATCCCCATGAGCCTGTTATAAGGAAGTACCCCCCTCCCTGGTCCGTAAACTGCCGCTTATAAGATCCCCCACTTAACAGCCTCCCCTGTGTTATGTGCCCATGTACCTGCAAACGAAAAAATGCACCCCAAGCTCCTCTCTAGCTTGTATTGAAATGAATTCGATTTATTATGACGTTTTGAAGCTTAATTACAAACCAGTAAATGCAAAACGCATTTTGATCAGCACAGTAAAAGCTTGTTTCGATGCGCGTTTTTTGTAATATTTAAAATGTAAGCAAGACCACAGCAACAAACCAATGAGTAGTGCTGGATCTCCCAAACAAAAACAAAGAAAAATCATTGACCACTTATCTATTTATTTATTTATTTATTTATAACAACTTTATTTGTAATAATCAATACAAAAGGCTGCCATCAGGGAGGAACTGAATCCTCATGTAAGATGACCCCCTAAAAATATCTACAAAGCTATTAAGGAAATATAAGTCACATAAAGACTATTATAATGTAAGAAGAAATGTAAAAGATATCACTAAAATATATCTATTAATAATGGAGTTATTAAAATTATCTAATTATCAAATTAGATATGCAATCGCAACAATTTTATGTTCATTACGTACTAGTGAAAAAGTGTTCTTTTAAGCCCTTTTTAAATTTTGACAATGAATCGGCACATATTAGAGAATCTGGTAACGAGTTCCATTTATCTATATATCTATGCCAGAAAGAGAATTTTAAAATATCAGTTCTTGAAAAAGATTTCCAGATCTTCCTACTATTTCTTGATCTAGTGCTAGCACGAGAGAAAGATAAATAATTGTCAAGCTTAACTCTCGAGAAACCATTAATAAACTTGAATAATTGAATTACCGATAGATATTCCCTACGGAATGCAAATCAAAAAATGTTATCTACTTAATTCAATGCAACAAATGTAAATGCCAGTACATCGGAGAGACCAAACGCCAACTAAATGAAAGATTTGGAGAACACCGCCGATCCATCCTGAACCACCAACAACTCAGTGATCGCACTCCTGTCTCCTTACATTTTAATCAAGCTGGATAGGACTGCCCATGATTAGGGAGCTTGATTTTTGGCATTTAGTATCTGCGTATGTCTCCACGATGTCGTCACCAGTGTTAGTACTTGCTTTTCGTTTTGGACTTTCCATCGTTTTCTCGTTTGGTGAATTGCTTTTGAGCCACTACCATAAAGTTTTCAGTTCTAGTCAGGGAACTATCATTGGGCGTTGCCGAGGAGCTTCTGTATTCTTTTGTTTTGATGATCGGTCATTAGGTTCTGGGTGTACCTCCACAGTCAAAAAGAGTCGCTTGTGATCGTGTCGTGTTGTTGAAGCTTGTTGAATTTTCTTCTCTGGAACTTGTCTCTGCAAAGTCTGAGGAACGTTTTAAGTAAGGCATGACTTGATTCCGCAAGCATGCTCCATTTTCTTCTTCTTTACTTAGACCATTTCTCCCTTTGTCAAAGGCACATATTCTGCAAGCTATTTCACCTCTGCAGTGGTCGGGATTACGAGGCAGCTGGTGAAGAGATGCATAGGCTGTATGTATATTTCTGGCATCTTCAGATTCATTCTCAGCTTTCCTGCCTTTTGCAGCCCCTCTTGCATTCATACGTGGAACATTCTGTTTGACTTGTTGCTTGTGGTTGGTTTTTAGGAAAGCCGTTTTTCCGCAAGGATCTTGAAGAAGCTGTTTCAGGGCACGGCGAAACTTTCGAGCTCTAAAACAATAGATGACTGGATTAATCGCGCTGGTTGAGAATATGCAAGAGAAGGCTAGGTGACCAGGCCAAGCCACACTAGTGGATCCGACGGGACGACTTAGCCAGGCTGCAATCAAAGCAGGTGGAGTATAACACGCAATGAATGCAAGGATAGTGATGGCCACAGTTTTGGCAGCCCGGATATGCAGTTGGAATCTGGCCTCAGCTTGGAGTCGAGGCAGTTTGAGTCTTTTTCTCTGCGAATAAAAGGAATACCATCGTTTTCATTTTGAATGCAACACGCCTAAAATGCATCTGTTAACATCTTCATAATAGTAGTAATTTTGAGCCCTATTTACAGTAAAAACGTTAGGTATATATCGAGTACAATAAGTTCGTCTACTGAAAGCAGGGGTCTAGGTCGACGGCTGAGTGATCATTAATCATGTACCGTGGAACCCCAGTATACGGTATACGATAATTTCCCGTACGCCTATGATCGAAATCACCCAATTACAACCTACAGAAGTGACCTTTTGAACCCTCTGAAGGAAGCCTATGTTTCCTGAGAGGTCCGTTAGAGTGAATGAAGGCGGCAAAAAACGTAAACGTCAGTTATCTTCTTGACTTGAGATCGCATGTTATTGTGAAGCGCGGCAAACTTGTGTCAAATAAATATGTCTCCAGGGTGTTGTATGTAAAGTGTCGATTACCTGGTGAAACATTCTGCTTCTTGAAAAACGTTTGCTGTCATTATTATCAATTTTGTGCTTTAAGTAAGTTCCACGTAACTCATTGTTTTTTTACGAGCTGCTGATTGGCCCACAACTAACTTTCTCGGAATGTATTGTTATTTTCCTGTAATCCGATTCATTTTTTATATAAGAATAATTAACAATTATTCCAGCCAACGAGGCGTTTAGCACCGAGTTGGCTATAATCATCTCATATCCAACAAGCGCGAGCATATATGGAGAGCATGGTATAATTAACAATTATTCCTTAGACTCAGAGGCCATGAGGGCGAGGGGAATAATTATTGTTTCAGTAAAATCCAACTAGTTGGTCAAAAATATCGAAGCTGGTTAAAGCTAGACTTAAATCATTTTTTGCTCGCCAAATTGCCGGCGCTTTTCGCTACTAGTGGGCTATAACATATAGCCCCCCGGCCTAGTAGTAGCTCAACCAATCAGAACGCAGCATTCATAATAGACCACTAGTTGGATTTTACTAATAGCTCATATACCATAATGGCTAAGCCAATCAAAATGCTAGAATTGCATTATCAAATGATTCAGTTTTCAATAAATATTTTATGAGAATATCGAGGCTGCTATTAGCGAATTTTACGAATATGATAATAAACTCAAGGCTGAGATTTTGAAAAGGATATAGGTTTGTGTGTTGAAAAATCTGTTAATACAATACAATGACACTATTCTTTTCTCTAAGCGGCAAAACTGGTCACCAAAACGAAATAACCTACTTTAACCGCAATTAACTAGTACCCCAATATCTTTTAAAACGAAAAAGTCATCAAACCATTACGTAAGAATAATCCAAGAATACTTTCAACCCAAAATCAGCAGAAAAATAAGAATATTCAGTCCGGAACGGAGAGAAAATCGACGAAACGTAAACAATTCCAATCTAACTTTTTGTCTCACCTGTCGTTTCTTTCTTTGCACTGAGCAGAAAACCAGGGCTCCAAATACTACTGAAGTGAAGATGTAAATTGAAGTGGCTGCTATGTGGGCGTATCTGGCTTCAGCTGCAAATGCAAGGCGATATTTGAAAACAGGGGCATCTTGAAAATCGTCACCAGAATGAAAAATTGACCGCGAGACAGTGGCAGTAACACAGACCAACCATATAACCAAGTTTATTAACAAAGCTTTTTTATTTGTCTTCCAGGAGAAATATTTCAGTTCTAGTTCTATCGCCAGGAAGACGTTTATCAGCAGCACCATCATGCAGGCGATTTTAAGGAGGTTACTGAGGTTGGAGAGGAAAAACGAAACAATCGCCAAAGTCTTTCCTGTAAACCATTTAACTCTCAGGACAGCCCAGAGCAAGTAGATTGGTATGTTGATAAGCGCGTTCAAAAAATCGGCCAACGCCAGGTTGGCAGTCAGAATGTTGGGGAAGGTACGAAACATCTTAAACCGAGCAATAACACCAAGAACAAAGCCATTTCCAAGAATTGCCAAAACAGCCAGTAATATCAGAAGTACAAACATACAGACGGTGATGGGAGCGAAACTATTGACGTCCATGGTTTTGTTAGCGTTTTCACCCTGTTCATCTGAGTATCAAAGCATCTCAGTTTTAAATGAGCTGTTTCACAAAATTTATCATGATTCAAACAATAGCAATTACAATTGGACATAAGGATGCGCGATTGCCATTATCAACAAAATAAACTACTCAACCTTGGCATAGCCCCTTTAAAGAGCAGAACCAACGGATTATTACTTTCTTAGTACTAGTTTTTCAAATGTTGTGTCATTTGCAGCTGACATTTTCCCCAAAAAGTTACCAGAAAGGGACTATGTGTACTCTTTCCGACGTACGAGTTTCAGAAAGAGTTTTATAAAAGAACCTTTGATCCACGTTTTGTGAAAAGCTCCTTGTACAGGTAACGTTTCTCCTACTGTTTAACATAGGACTCTGTGAAATAAAATTTGCTTTCTTTTTTTTTCTACTGTGCTTTACAATTTTCGTAAGTTTTCAAACGGTATTCCTCCCGTTTGTGGTCTACAGACTTGCGTGCATTTGCGACGAATGAATAAATCATTTAGATTTGTTTTCCAAGAAGTCAAAAATTGCACTTTTAAACGATAAATCACACCATAATGAAATACACAATATTTCCGTTCATACGTTGTTCAAAAATTAACATATTCAACTTCCTTACTAGCCTCCCACGCAGGCGTTGTTAGGGGAGCTCGTTTAGGGGAGGGATGAAAAATGAGCTCCCCTAAAAACGCGCGCCTGCGTGGGAGGATACTTCCTTACCGACAGTTTCCCAGAAGCACTGATTCAGACACATCTCTTTCCACAGTCGGTGTATTTTATTCTATACAGCAAAATGCGAATCTCCACACTGTCAGTCTTTTTTCACTACACTCGTAGCCAAATAATTCTTTCTTTACTTTTTTCAGTTTGGATCTTTTAATGACTGATGATTTCCAGCGCGAGTGCAGGACGCACTAAAACAGCGTTTTCACAAAACGTCACGGCGACCATATTGGTGTTCTAAAACAACGAAACGGCGGCCATGCAGGTATTCCAAACAAGTCCTTATGTAACCGTTTTTTTTGTTCCAATAAATTTGCATTGATGCTGGCCACGTGAGTAAAAATGCTCTGTACCATAGTCAGCCTCTTTCTGTTTCGGGGTTTGCCACCCCTCCAAGGGCGAATTTAAAGGTGGTCTGAGGGGACCGTACACCACCCCTCCCCCTTTTTTGGTCCAATTTCGTATTATTTTTAACAAGTTTGTTTGTCATGAAACATGAGTTAACATGTACCGCTTGTATATCGTCTGGTTACAAGAGAACGCGGGACAAATCAAACTTACTTATAATTACCACAAACAAGATTTCTTTGTTCCGTTATCTTATGATAACGGCCCGACTATTTCAGGCGGAAATCCCAGCTTAGTTCAATCTACTCAGTCATGATTAGGTAACAAACTTCTCACGCAAATCAACCTTTGCTTTCGCAGTCTTTTTTTTCCATTCAAGACACTCAGATGTTCTGTAATTTCCCGTAAATCACGACAGAAGTCGACTGGGGAAAAAACCGACCTGGATTATTCACGGAGGTCCGAGAAAAGGCCACTAACAATTACCAAGGGAGCTTTCTATTTGTCAGAACTGACCGGCCAGAGCGTTCCCGTCGTAATAACAATTTCACTTCTGCCCGATCAGTCAAGTCCCAAATAGTATGCAGGAAGGAGATGTTTTTTCAGCAAAAACCTTTGGAAAAAGTAGATTTCATTTGCTAACTGACTGGTTCGGCAATGGTCCGGCCGGCCGGTCGGCCAGTTCTGACAAATGGAAAGCGCCCCCGAAGTATGCCTAACGTGGAACCTTTTGTTCAAAAACTAAAATACTCCACTAAATAGACAAAACAACTAACATTAAGAATTGACAGCAGCAATTGATTACCAAACGGTTCAAACTGGATGCTGTGTCACTGAACAAGGGAATTGGGGGAGAAAAATGTGAAGCTCTTGAGTCTTCCTTCGCAGAGCCGAGCACAGAGTGCTCCTAACGGGAGCCCGATTTTAAACAGAGCAAATTCAACAATGCAAATCTGTAAAGCATGGCGTTTGGCAACGGCGGAAAGTGTCAAACCAGCCCTGGAGAAATTTCCCTGTTGCTGAGGTGGAAAGGAGAAGTTGGATAACGTCACCCTGGTAAAGAGAAGTCTGTCTTTTATCCGAGACCATCCAATAATAAGAGACTATGCGTCAATAGACCTGTGTAGTTTTGACCCATACATCTCCTGCCAAGACAAGGGCTAACGAACGTTTCTGCTGCTGCTGCTGTTGTTGTTTTTATGAACCACAGAGCTTCTACTGAAGTTTAATCCTGACCTAATGCGTCAACACCTGTGTTTATGGACCGTGAGAACTTGTAAAATCCAAGTTGGAACTTTACTAACACACCTACAATATTGAGAAAAATAAAGAAGAATATCCATGAAGGCCAAGATCAGATTCATATCATGTCTATCGTGGAATCTAGTATTATTCAAGACCAAAATTCTCAACTGCATAGACGACACAACTTAAAATTGACAGAATTCGTATGCTGGTTTCCCTAGAACATGAGTGCCCTTAAATCACAAAACAAACATGGCGATTTATGGAACATCACGTGACAAAACTAAAATAAAGAATCTACACTGTATAAGTTATAAGTAAACACTGAATTACATGAAAAACGAAGAGACAGGTCATGATATTTTTTATGGAAGGTAACATCAGGAAATATTAAAACTTCCATTGACACTAGAGAGCTAAATGACGACCCAAGGTTTGAAATCACAGAGTGGAGGGAGCTAGAGAGAGCAGAGGTTCGTATGTCTGTTATCTGCACTTTAGAACTATATAAAACTCTTCAATTCAAGTATTATTGCTACTAACGTCCTCCGTTTTCTAAGAACCAACGTCCGGCAATGGTTCTTTCTTTGTACTCTGGCCTGCAAATTATTTTTTAAAAATGCTTTTAATATCTATGCCCGTGATAGATTTTTAGACTTTGACAGTACCTGCGGCAACAGACCCTGGACTTAAACATTTTCGTGAGAATTTTTAGGTGTATGATGATGAGTAGAAAACAAAGGGAAAAAATTACGTCAAGACCGAAAAGCTTATCAAAAAATACGTGTGATCAGATGACCTAGCATTGAGCAATTGTCTTGTAAGGCTTTATAAAATAAGTCAACACAAAGCTTGTTATGGCGTGTACATAACTCACCAAAGATCGTGAAGCTTGATGTCGGTACAAAACATCCCTGATCAGAATTTTAATTGTTGACTGCCAATTCAAAAAGATTTGTCAAACATAATCTGTTATCTCAAAAGACTAAAGCTGATGTAACAAAAATGAAAAAGAAAACAAATTAATACACAGTGCAGAGAAAAAACAAGTTTTGCAGCCGGGTAGAGACAGTGTGATGACTTTGCCAGATGTCCAAGCACAAACTAACATCTTTCGGATGTTTGCACTGTAGCATAAGCTGAATGTAACACGCTACAACTGAGCATAGTACAAATTAGAATGGTGCCATGTTGCGGATGCGCGTTGAGTAGAGTCCGGAAGCATATAACGCTTCTGGTACAGTATACTATAAAACGAGAAACATCCAACTTATTTGCACTGTGAATATATTCACAATTCATGTTCCGTTACGTTAAGCTGATCATGATGAATTATTTAAAAAGGAAATCTCAGCTTAGTGGAATTGTCAATTCTTATTATTTAACAGCGTTCTCACGCAAATATACTGGCTTATTTTCTTTCAAACAACTCTGATTTTTTTTTGTGAACACCGTTTGTCCATGTCTCAAAAAAAATTAGTTGCTAAAAAAGGCGCGGCACTCAAGCGCTACCTTGGGATACAATAAGTTTAAACGTCCAAGCCAAGGCCTGTTAGAATTCCCCTATTGCTCTGCAGCTGATCCTTTTGTTGAAAGAGTAAGCAGTTAAACAGAGGACACAACTTAGAATAGGCTACCACTTCCGAGTTGCCAAATGATATGAAAATGATTTTGTATTCTCATGCAAAGGAAAGTCATTTTCTCAAGAAAGGTTTTGCACTCAACCTCGTTTTGAAAGTGAGAGTTTTTGGAACTCAGAACTGGCTTATTGACGGACTCTGTGTGCGGCCAACCCTAGACATTGAGCAGCTATTATAAATGACAAGTTCGACAAGGATGACTGTTGGACAATATCATTTACCACGACTAAACCTGCTCAACTCTTAAAACAATAAAAAAAATCCACTTCAGTATTTGAACATAATATATATAAGTATAAGGTAACATCGAATGACATGAAAATCAACAAAAAAGACAGGTCACGATATTTTTTCAGTTACATCAAATAAAATCAGGAAATATTAAAATGACAACTAACCTTTAAAATCCCAAAGAAATACGGTGAAAAACAACAGTGGAAAGTACTACTTAGTAGACTTAACTGGAATGATCGTACTCAAATAAGAATGTCATTTGTGGTTTTGACACATCGACAGCCATCTTAAGATCGTGTAACATGCTGTAATCAGCAGCACAGGAAAGGCAATATTTTTTCTTTTGGCTCAGGCGTGTTTTTTTCTTGAAGCTTTTCTTAATTACAAGCAGGAGCAGTAATACGACTGATTTCCAGTCAGCTGTCTCAATATTTACTACACGCAGTAGTTTCAATCGAGGCTCCCCCCGCTTCTTTGGGGATGGGGGAGTACCGGTGTCTGTAATCAGAATTTTTTTATCTTTATGCCTAATATCGCTGTTTCAATTATACCGAGACATGTAGACCGAGCCTTTACGGGGGACAAATTAAACTTTGTTGCCTAACGAATGATGTCATGAGTATTGGCAGTTTTGACCGCCAATGAAGCTTATTTCGTTATCTTTTCGTCGTACTTTTGTTTAGCTCAGATTTTCTGAAGAGCATCAGTTTGGAAGAAACAGGTGAAGCGAGGGGTGAAAATCACGAGAACTTAAACCTGACTATCGGAACTCCTCAAAAACAGTACGT